TTCACACATGAATAGAACTATTATAGAACATCCAATGTCCGCCGCATGCGGCATTTATCGAGATGTCCTTGATATGTCACAAAGCTACCTTCTCCCTAGTTCTGGTTTAAAGCCTTTTCATGGACACAACAGAACATTTTCAACGCGTCTTGCGCACATTAAATCGCTGTGAATAAAACATTTTCGAGGTACTTTTCTGAAGCCTTTTGTCAAAATGAACTTTTGCACTAGGATTCCATTTCCTTTGAATGAAAAAATGCATTAAAAATAGATTGAACATAAAAATATTTTCTTGATATGATATTACCTTCTTAATCGGTTTCTGAGTAGTGCTTACTACACACAGACATATAATTGGAAATATTTTTCCCAATTTTTGAAATGTTCTCTACAATGCATAATTTTGCAACTGCGGACAAGCTGTGTATTGATGAATTCGTACTTCTATATATTGATTACACTGAGGCACCGAACAACACATCTTGCATCTGATGGTTCATTATTACAAACTTCACCAAATTCCTTTCTGTTCGTTAGCAGCGTGATGTAAGCGTGACACGCTGCAAACGCGAATGCCAATTGCGAACAAGAAGAACAAAATCGAAAAAACAAATCAGAATTCATCGTATTGTGACGTATGCATGAGACGTTGTGGGGGGGCAAACAAAGAAAGGGCACAAAAGAACAAAAACAATACTTTCAATATCCTTCTAAGACCTCTTTGGGAAGTGCATATTACGCCTCAAAAAAACATCCTCATGCCTACATTTCTAAAACATCCCAAAACATCCCAGGGATACCTCTCAGTAGGCAAACAAAGAAATGCCACAGAAGAACAAGAACAATACTTCAATATCCTTCAAAGACCTCTTTGGTCAGTGCATATTACGTCTCAAAATAACATCTTCATGCCAACATTTTCAAAACATCCCAAATCATCCTAGGGATGTTTGTGCTCGCTGGGATACTGTCTGTATGTTAATCGAGGAGGTGTAACATTCATTTTACTTGATTATTTGGGATTTTTCTCTCCTTGTTTCTACAAAATAAGAATATTGAGTAGGTATTATTTCAATATACAGGGTGATCCACGGTGGATGGCCAGTTAGAAGTATCTGGAGAAAGAAAAGACAGAACATTCTGAAAATTGGGATGCTTTGATAATTGAACATTCTCTATCCGTCTCAAATATTTTCATCGATACACTGTTGCCACTTCTATCAGAAACAACTATCAACTTTGTTATTTCAAAGTGAACACTCTGTATTTTATTGCATTTCTATATTCATCCTGAAGAGCTGATTTCATCAATGTATCACACTTGGGGTCTAGCAGGAATGGTTACAGAGATATAGGGTGTTCAAAATCGAGATTTTTCAATTTTAGGATTTTTTGTGGGGAAACTATTCATTATCGATCAAAACGGCTTACATGTCCCTAACTTGACTTTTGATTCACTATCCACTGGAATTTAATTGGGAAAAATACAGGGTGCTTAAAGATTCAGAATTCCGATAACCCTGAATCTGTTCCAATTAAATGTCAGTTGATAGTGAATCGAAAGTTGAGATACACCCAAAGTCACTATAACCACCAAGTCAATGTTTGTCATCATGGGTTGAGTTCACATGTTCACCTTAATCTCGAAAAACTTACATAAGACAAAATTGCTCGACCTACGGTTTTGCAATTTTTTCATGTCATCAGGTTTCCTCGTGAAATTACTTATTTTTTTATGTTCTGGTTCTCACGAAAAGGAATATCCTGTAATGTTCAGAACATCGTGAGAACCAAGGGAAATAAGAGGTAGGAACTTGGCGTTCTTCTTAAATTTCAGGAGGTTATATATGCCTCGGAAAACACCTCCCTTGGCAATGTGTTCCAGAGCCTCGCTGTTCGTTGGATGAACGAGTCTTTGGAAAGAGATGTTCTGCAGGTCTCCAAAGTGACCACGAAAGGGTGCGAATAAGTCTCAACTCGACGGGTTAATCTCGCGGGGACTGCCAAGGGAGAAACAATTGTTAATTGATATTTCAGAAGAGCATCGTCCATGAAAATATCTATAAAATAGAGCCAGATTGCCAACTTTTCTACGGTGTTCCAGAGAAGTGAGTGAGTATTTGTGAGCGAGGCATCACCCACGAGACGAATTGCCCTGTTTTGGACAGAATCCAATTCAGGGTATGTTTGGGTGCTGCACTCCAAATATATGGGAACAGTATTTCAGGACAGGTCGGATCTGTGCCTTATAGATCATAAGCAGCTGACTGGAAGTGAAATAGCTCCTGGCCCGAAACAGAAAACCAAGTTTTTTGGGATACACTTTTAGCAATTGATCTCACGTGATTTTCCCAAGAAAGGTTATAGCTGATAGTAATACCAAGCATCGAAATGGATGTCTTCAAAGGTATATATGGTGACTCCTGACAAGAGCTTATGTTGGATACAGTGAGATCGGATTTTCTATAGAAAAGGCATGCTTGTGTTTTGTTTGCATTGAAATCTACCAAATTATTGGATCCCCATTCGAGAATTGTTGTCAAGTCCATATTTATGTTGCTAACAATTCTTCCTCTTTCCTTTCTGATTTGCCTGGCTGGTATTGGAGCCCTGGAAGAGAAGGCGGTATATATGGAGGGTACTATCATCCGCGAAGCTGTGTACTGGACATGAAGTTGCTTTCAACTATTCAACAAATCGTTGATATGGAGTAGAAATAGTGTTGCTGCTAAAATTATTGATCCTTGCAAATGTGTTCGTAAGCAAAAAATAGCTATTTGTGTGTTTAGAGCGCAAAGTGATAGATTGCCGATCGACAAAGAAAGTTACCGCGCGATGCGGAGCGGAGCGCGGTAATCTTTGGAGAGCGGCAATAACACTTTGTGCTCGAAATACACACAAGATTTTTTCTACTAACGCAGCTTTTGGAAATAACTACCCTGAAAGTATGAGCGATTGAAATAGTTGAGAAAGTTCTAATCCATATTATCCCATATGTCCAAAGGAAACAAAAAAAATAATTGAAATAACTGACAAGCCAGAAAAAAAATTTCGGGACTACCGAGAATTGAAACTGGACCACCAGCGTGGCAACCTGAGCTTCAGACCTCTAAGCCATAGTACGCGAAAAGCTCTGCAATCAAATTGAAACATTACTCATTGATGCAATAAAATAAAGATACACTGTCTTTCTGATGACAACAAAGAGTTTAAATATAAAGTATAATTCATCGTTTTCAACAGATATGCTTCATCGGGAGCTTCTTGTAAAAATTTGTTGGTATATATATCTTCAGCGGTGAATGTTTTGGATTTTTATCGCTTTATATCCAATAGATTGTTTCTTGAGAAATGCGATAAGTTTCAGATACTTATTGATTCCGATTTAATCTTTATATGTCATCATGACAATTTGTCATACGTTCTTTCGTGCATTCAATGAAAGTTTTTTTTGATTTTTCATGAGAGATAACCAGCTTTCCTCCTTCCAAACAAATAAGACACACATTTTGAATAAAAACGTCTTGTCCATTGACAGTTTTACGAAAAGAAGCAAGTCTTAATTTGATTTTCGACTCTAGTTCACTGTCAGAGCTGCTGCTGATCGTTAAATCCATTTCTAGAGGATACAAAAAAATACTAACTGTACCTAATACTCACTAAGTAAGTTCTAAATATTGTTAACTTAGCAATAAGTTATTATTCGCTTTTAATAATATGATTTATAGACAAGAACTTTATCACTCATCACTAGTAATCTCAGTGGAATCAGCGCTACCAGAACAATGCATTCGAATTTACAACAAAACAGTGAATTCACGGTAAAATCGACCGTATCAACATCACCCTCAGTAGAGTGGATTTTCGGTTGACACAGGCATAGCAATCTCGCCCTTCCCCGCATCACTGCGCTAGCCGCCGTTCGTCGCGACATGCCTTTCGATTTATTCAATTTCCTCGTGAACCAATTATCCAATCAAAATTCTAAAAAAACCAACATGTTCTCTGATGTTTGGTCTTTAACGTTTATAGAAAGTCTTTTTTTGCTAGACCCAATACTTTTCGAGGTAGAGCGAGTTAAATGATTTTAAAAATATGGGTGTTCAGGGCAAGTGGTTTTGTGTGAAGGCGCTCCATATACAACAATGCTGCGACGTATTTTTATAAATTAAAAAAAAATATTTCTGATATTTGGATGGGTATGCAAATTTGAGGAATGAATTATCTCAAAGCTTAGACCTGAAAACCGATGAAAAAAAAAATTGGCTTTTTTTAAAAAAAAGGCTCCCCCCACTCCCCTCCAACTACGATTTTTGGACGACCAAGTGATTTTGCATTGCAAAGGTCTTAGGAATGATAAAAAATGGGTTTTACATTTTAGCAACAAAGTGCCCACGAAAATCTATTCTAGAAGCCTTTTGCCAGTCTATTTACTCTACTATTAACATTCAAGCATGTATACGTACCATCGAATATATAGACCAATGAGTTGATGACTTCAAAGTCTTTGATTTTTTACCAAAATAAGCCAGTAAAACGTTTTATGAATACATATTCACCATCTCGGAGTGGCACCAATTTATGGATGTATCATATTGTAATTCATATTTCTTCCTTGATTTCTCCGGTAAGAGATTCAAACTCTTGCGCTTCCTGCTATATCATCAGGAAGGAGGTGTGTTTGATGATTCACTGTCACTATTTCCCATCATGAAAGAATTGGGGGTTTTCAAGAATAGATAAGTATAGGTTACAGAGATAAGCGAGCGTTTTTCAATATTTCCGCTCACGAGCGCAAATGCTGTCAAAGAATGACATTTCTGGGAAAACTTCAACTTTGTGCTGGAATTTGAAAGCGTCAAAGGCTACTTTGTTAAGCTTTTGTAGAAAAAATGTATTCAATACAGATTCAATAGAAAGAAAGCTCTTGTGTTTTTATGGTTGATAAAATCCCGTCCACCTTGTTTTATAACGTCGTTATTACCATGGCAACGTCATTTTGACACCAAAAGTTTTGTCAATGTCGTTTCACGTTTTAAGGACGATGTTTGGGTGTACAAAGCAACAATAATAAACTACAAAAGGATGCCTCCGACGGGCAAATTTCACAGCCACGCAAAACAGCCCAAAATATCTGTAGAACACGAGTGAGTATTACCAAATTTAATATGCCATTTTTCAGTTGTTAGCAGATTTTGATCTTGGGTCTAAACCCATATGGGGAGAGAAAGATAGGGAGAGGAGAATGAGGAGACAGAGTAGATTAAATCAGGGCAGAGTTGCACCATTTCATGCTCAACAAAATGCTGCTTTGAGATTGGAAAAATGTCAATTATTTCTGAAGATATCTGGAAAAATTTGAATGTGAAAAATCGTTATTTAATACTCAGTTCATCATTCAAGAGATATTTCGAAATAAATGTCTCTTCATCTTTGCCACATTTCCTCCTCTACAAAATGGGGTAATTTTGAACTTATCATGCGATGGTTTTTTTTTCGGAATTTTTTTTTGGTACATACGTATTTTTGTCTGAAAAACACGAATTCAATAATGATGATGTGAACAAACCATTATTTACGAAAGCGTAGAAAGGCCACTGTTGTGTGTATTCTATTTTATTTCTTCATTCAGACTTTAAAGTCTGAATTCAGACTTTTTTCTCTGAATTCAGACTTTTTTCTCTGAATTCAAACTTTTTTGTCTGAATTTAGACTTTAAAGTCTGAATTCAGACTTTAAAGTCTGAATTCAGACTTTTTTCTCTGAATTCAGACTTTTTTCTCTGAATTCAGACTTTTTTCTCTGAATTCAGACTTTTTTCTCTGAATTCAGACTTTTTTCTCTGAATTCAGACTTTTTTCTATTAATTCATTGAATAACACATTCACATTAGGTAATACCGAGGGTAATACACTGATTTCAGTAAGTACCTACCTTTCATGTCATTTATTTTTCATGGGGTTGATTAATTTTATTATTATTTGCAGGTCACTACGTCAAAACGTCTATAATAAATGATGTGATGCTTATTCAATAGTTATTTATGCAACAAGTGCAAAAAGTGAATGTTTATAGCACTCGACGTGAAATTGTCCGACGAGGCCGTGAGGCCGAGTTGGACAACACGTCGAGTGCAATAAACAATTTTTGCACGAGTAACATACAACATTTTTTCTACGTTCATGCAAAAAGCAAGAAATGATTTATTGAGGTGCGGCACTAGGTACAATTCTGTTAATTGTCAGAATTAATTTTTGACTGACGTTTCTATAACCACAGTTTGACAGTTGCAATATAAAAAATGTTTGTCATGATGACAACACGTTGAAGTAGAATGACAGATGAGTGCAATAAAAACTTTATTGCACTAAGTGCAATAAAGAACTTCTTTTTCCACTAAATATAGTTCAATAAAGTTCTGCTTTTTGCATGAATGTAGAAAAATATATTTATACCCTATATAAAAAGCGAGAATATAGTTTATATAATATATATGGTGAGTCTCACTTTTCATAGGGTAGTTGACAGCATAAGTGCTGCCAAAATAGTATAACTTATGACCAAATCAATCCTTCTGATATAATGCAAGATTGATGATTAAATAGATCATCAATAACTCGAGAACTATATTCGACATTAACGATACTAACTCAACAATGGTTGGGTAGCATGGCATGCAAAGAGACTGTATTCAAAGAAAAAAGTCTGAATTCAGAGAAAAAAGTCTGAATTCAGAGAAAAAAGTCTGAATTCAGACTTTAAAGTCTGAATTCAGACAAAAAAGTTTGAATTCAGAGAAAAAAGTCTGAATTCAGAGAAAAAAGTCTGAATTCAGACTTTAAAGTCTGAATAAAGAAATAAAATAAAATACACACAACAGTGACCTTTCTACGCTTTCGTAATTATTCATTAAGATATTTCACTATAAAGGACCCCGCACGAAAACACGGGAAATTGGCTCTCGGTCGAATTGTCTGTACTATGTTGCTGTGGGATGGCTCATTAAAAAAATATGTGAGTTTGAAAAGTTTTGTATGTTTAGTTTCTGAGATATAAGCCGACAAAGTTCGTAAAAACGTCGTATCGGGGTAGGATTGACAAAGAAAAAAACTGTTTTTTTAGTATAAATGAGACAAAATAAGCTAGAAAATGTATTGATCGGAACTGATAAACACGTCTAAAAAAAAATGTATTTATTATTCCGTGGATGTTTGCTCTATTGAGGACCATAAAGTTGAAATGAAATATCTCATATATTTTTCATAACAATGCGCGAAGTAGGTACTTCGCGCACTGTTTTACTTCGCGCATGGTTTTATGCAAGGTATCATGGTAACGTAGGAAACTGAAAAAAAGTGTCACTTCGCAATTTGTTATCAATGCGCGAACTTTATTGTTTTTTGACGTTTGTAGAAAATAGTTATTTTCCTAACAAGTGCGCAAAGTGTTACTTTTCCGAACGCAAATACAGTTAGGCCAACGACGCGGAGCGGAGTTCGAATAATTTTTTGCGTGCGAAAAAGACACTTTGCGCACGTGTTAGGAACAACGTTTTTCCTACGAGCTTCATATCAGATAAAAAGGAAAATAAAAAAAATATATAACTTATTGAAAAATGTAACTATACAACAATCACATATGACAATAAAATATAATGATAGAAAATCACATTTTCCCTACGAGCTTCATATCAGATAACGAAAATTGAAAAAATTCAACTTAAATCACAATTTATTGAATAATTTTTAGTTAAACTTGATAGAAATAGCTAAACAACAAACAATTACATATCAAAATATAATGATAGAAAATTGAATCATTTGTTCCCAATCTTTATATTGAGGTAAAATACAAATATCGGGAGGAACGGTTGAAAAGTAAAAGGAATAACGGCTTCTTTATAGTGCATACAATAGTCTACAGCAACTAAAATGAATATAAATGTTCCATACCAGTGAGGTAGTTTTACTTATCCGCACGCCGTGCGGATAACACCTATATCCGCACTGAGTGCGGAAAAGTATTACTTTGCGCACGCAAATGAGTGCGAAAAGTACTACTTTGCACACGCTCGTAGGAAAACACTATTTTGTCAGTCCCCAGCAATGCAACCACCGGCTGAATGGCCAGTTCATTCACTACAAGCCCTTGAGGGCCACCGAGGGCAAGACGGTGGTGAGGACGTTCGATGCCGACGGCTCCAGGGACCTCATCGTGCCGAACCGCTGTCCCATCGACAGGCCGGCCATCTTGGGGCAGTCCGAGTTCCGGAGGCTCAAGCAACAGGCGCACGTGAGTGATCAAGGGCGGATCCAGGTCCATCCCTCGCGTCAGAGGGGGGGGGGTCACCTGAATCCCATAATTTCATATAAAAGCTGCTGTTTACTTGAAAATTGGTAAAATTTCGGGAGGTGTTTACTGATCGAGGTATTTTTAATTAACACCCTTTTATTAATTTCACCTGTATGTATGTATGTAACCGACTCAATTGAACCACTTTAAACGGACTCGCAACTATTCGTTTTTTTTTAATCGCTTGGAGCGCACGAAAGGGAATCCCTATAATGTTCAAAGAACATCGTGCTTTCCTAGGGAGGATAGGGACAGGAGGTAGGTATTGGAATTTTTTTTTGAACTTTTGGAGATTATATGTTGTTGGGAATACTTCCACAGGCAATGAATTCCAGAGCCTAGCCGTTCTATGGATGAAGGAGTCTTGATAAAGTGCTGTTCGACATCTTTCGAGGTTGACAACGAAAGGACCCAGATAACACGAAGACGTCCTGTGTACGTCCAGAGGACGTACATCTGGGACGTACAAGACGTCCTGAAGACGTCCAGTGTCGGTCGAAGACGTCCACAGGACGTATTGGGGACGTCCGATGTTACAAGATGGAACGTCCCAGGGACGTCCATATTAAGTCCAAGTTTGGTATTTCATCGCCATGAATACCATAATCAACGTAGATTCGCCCTTTTTTACTCAGATAGATAAACAAGACATTTATACAGAGTAAAAAAATATTATTTTGAATAAAAAAATTGAAAAAAAATCCTTCCTACTGGGGGATCGATCCGCGACCTCTGAATTACCGAGCAGATGCTTTACCAACAACTCTACACGACACTTATTGAATATAAGACTTACCTCTGTTCAACATAATTATGCGAGTATAAGATGGAAACGTAAACATTGAGTGCAGAAACACTCCACCAGCTCATTTCAATGGAATTCGCTATGAATCAGTATAAAGACCAGGACGTAAGACAATATGTGTACATAATTTCATCTTTAAGTATATCCTACGAAATCTCTGAATCCAATAAAGAGGTAACACTCTATTTAGGATAAAAATATATATGCGAACATTGCCAAATTTACTTCAATCCACATTGGTCACAAAAAATCACGTGATTCATTGTGACCTATTATCGAATTGATCGGCAGTCATTATTAAGGGCCCTTATTCCTTCTCCATTTGATCACATCTGGCAATGTTTTATTGTTATTGGAGAATATAATAAATATAGAGTGAATAATGAATATTGAAAAAATGAAGACTAAAAATGGACGTCCTGAAAACGTACGCTCTGTACGTCCCGAAGACGTACGGCATGGTACGTTCTGAGGACGTCCATATTAGGTTTCGGGACGTACGGACCCGAATCGGACGTAATATGTACGTCCCCGGGACGTCGTGTGCTATCTGGGGATGTGCTGACTGATGGGCTTGTCTAGTTCGTTTGATTGGTATTGCTAGTGAAGGGATGATAGCAGAGATTTCCGAAAAACATTTCCCGTGGAAGTATCGATAGAAAAGTGAAAGGTCGCCGACCTTTCTACGGTGTTCCAATGATGTCAAAGAGTGAGTGAGTGTGGCGTCACCCACCAGGCGGGATGGCTCTTCTCTGGATGGAATCTAAGAGCATCAGCGTATGTTTTGGTGCTGAACCCCATATGTGGGAACAGTATTCTAGAACAGGCCGTATCTGCGCTTTGTAGATCATGAGAAGCTGTTGAGGTGTAAAGTAGCTTTTCGCACGGAACAAGAATCCGAGTTTTTGTGAAGCAGCTTTTGCGATGGATCTGACATGATTATCCCATGAAAGAGTGTTGCTGATGGAAATACCGAGCATAGATATGGTGGGCTTGGTGGGGATGGTGGAGCCAGACATTACAATATCGGGCATACTGAGTTCCGCCTTTCTAGAGAAAATGCAGGCTTGAGTTTTGGTGGCGTTGAATTCAACTAGGTTGTTTGTTCCCCAGGCTGTGATTTCAGCAAGATCTTCTTTGACAGCATTGACCTGCCTGCGCCGTGAGTTCTTAGTTTCCTGGGAAGAAATGGGAATTCTGGAAGAGAACGCAGTATGGAGGGTACTATCATCTGCAAAGCTGTGGATGGGACAAGTTGTTACTCCCAGCAGATCATTGATATGAAGCAGGAATAATGTTGGTGCCAAAATTGATCCTTGTGGAACGCCGAAATTGATGCCAATGGTATCAGACGATACACCGTCCACCACGTGAAGCGATCTGCCTGAAAGAAAACTCGATAGGAGATGGCATAGCTGAGGTGGTAAGCCGTATGATGGTAGTTTGTGGAGGAGTCCTTCGTGCCAAACACGGTCGAATGCTTTCGATATGTCCAACGCGACAGCTAGAGATTCCCCGTGTTTTTCTATTGAAGATTGCCATAAATGGGTGACGTAGGCAAGTAGATCTCTAGTAGATCTTCGGTGGCGAAAGCCGTATTGTCTATCATTGATGATTCTTGAGCTCTCCAGATATTTGATAAGCTCAATATTGATGGCTTTCTCCATCTTTTTGGAGATTACTGATAACAGGGCAATGGGCCTGTAGTTGTTGGGCAGGTTCTTGTTCCCTTTTTTGGGGATTGGTTGGACTCTAGCTGTCTTCCAGCATGATGGAAAAATACCAACTTGCAGAGAATCGGTGTTAATTCTGGTGCACATTTTTTGAGGATAATGGGTGGAATTCCATCAGGACCGTTAGCCTTATTCGTTCCAAGACCAAGCAAAATTCGTCTGATAGTGCGTTGACGGAAGACGATTTCGGACATTCGACTCTCAACGGGTGGAATGTCTGGCGGCAGTTTTCCTTGGGAATCTAAAGTACATTGCTATCAAACTATTCTTGGTTTGCATACATCTGGCCAACACACACTACATACTTGTTTATACAAATACGAGTACAGTTAATGCAAAGTTAGTTGAACAGATCATCAAACGAATGTCGGGCCGCGCTGCCGCACTCTTCATTGTACTTTCAAATTGGGGCTGACTGACCAGCTCCTGTCCCCACAGTCAGCTGACTGACTTTCATAACTTTCATTCGTATGCAATATACAATGTGTATAATGATTCTCAGCCTTTTATACGTCCATATGGGCTTTTAAATTCATTGCATTACCTCGGTAGGAACGACAACTTCGATAGTTATACCAGAGACACCTGTTGTCAGTTTCGCTTGACTGACCGCAGTAGGTATGTTTGTGTACAAAACCATTGTAATAAACTGTGAAAAAAACTAGGCTTAGTAAATTCAGAGAATCATTTTGGCGCTGGCTCTTAGACTAATAGTATTATAGTTAACAGAAATTACAACTGTTAGTGGTTTTGAATGTTTAGTTTTGTGCGCTTTTTCATTCAAAATTGTCTGAATTTGACAATATCTTCCATATTATCTTCCATAATATTGATTGCCTTTATTACTCCAACATACATTATACAGGGTGATTCAGATTTAAAGGCACAAACTGAAATGGGTGATAGATCTAATCATTTCTATAATAAAGTTGATATAAATATGAGTCCGATCTCGATCAGAAGCGGAGCTACAAGGGGTCGAAATTTGATTATTATATTTATCAATATATCTCGCTCACTTTTGAAGATATCGAGTAGAAATTAAGTGTGGTTGATATTTTCTAGGAGATCATCATTTCAAGCATCTTATAGATTTTCAAAATCTACAGGGTGTTCCGTTTTTGGGGGGTGGAGGCTTCCTTATCCCCTTCAAACTTTTTCGTAGTATGCCTCTGACATCTTGCAGTTAAGAAATTTGATAAATCGTTCAATTCCGAGGCTTCTTTGCCTTTATTTTTTTTCTCGAGAAACCAACCGTTTCCAGAATGAATAAGCATATCTGATCTAAAAACATGTTAATTTTGATTATTCCAAATTTTTTGGAATAATGAATGTACCACCTCCTCGATCAACCTACAGACAGTATGTTAATTTTGCCTATATATTGTTTCGCTTTAATTTTATTATTGGATGAATTTCGCAGAAAATGCAATAAAATGTACTGAAATTACAAACTGGATCAGTAGCAAAGGAAAGAACGTGAAAAGGTTTTGTTAGTTTTAAAAATTAGTTGTATTTTTTTCCAAAAATAAAATTTAAGCGAAATGTAGACAAATTTAACATGTTTTAGAACGAATATGCTTATTTATTTCGAAAACGGTTCGTTTATCGAAAAAAATTGAAAGCAATAGAAGTCTCTGAATTGAACGATTCACATAATCCGGTACCTAGATGATGTCAGAGGTGGACTACTGGAAATTTTGGTCGGGATAAAGAAGCCTGTACCTCCAAGAAGGTATATGACCCTGTAGATTTTGAAAATCATCAAAATGCTCAAAATGATGATCTTCTAGGAAGTAACAACCTCACTAAATCTCAAATTGATATCCTCAATAGTGAGCAAGATATTTTAATTATTATAAGAAAAAAAATTAATCTTTGATACCTCTTCTAGCTCCGCTACTGATCGAGATCGGAATCATGTTTATAAAGACCTTTTTGATTGAAATGATGGGACTTATCACACATTCCAGTTTGTGTCTTAAAATTTGAATCACCCTGTGTATTCGAAGACTGGAACCTTCGGCACTGTTTATAGAGAGAGATAGAAGCTAAATGTACCTGATTCACTCTTTGCAATAAAAATGCAGAAAATACAAAATTTTCTTGTTTTTTGTAGGTAGTAACTTTGAAAGACAGAGTCGAAATGATCGAAGAAGCAGAAAGGCAGAGAAACAAATTGCAAGCGGAAAGTATGCAACGAAAAGACGATTTGATGAAAGCCCAAAAAGAACAAAAAGCTGTTCCTGGAAGTAAGCTGGAAACTGTAAGTATCCCTACTCATGTTATTCAAGGTAAACATCGTTGAATTCAGAGAAAAGCTGTAATCAACAAAGCAACAAATTGATCATTTCATTTACATTTTGTTTTATATCCATGTTGAAAAAATTACATTTCATAACAGTTTGTATCGTTTTTTTCCTAAATAGGTAGAATCAGAAGCTGCAAAAAAGAACCTGTATCTGCTGAGACGTTCCAAAGAGTTGATAATTGAACAAGACGACAGAGTCAAGGTGGCTAACGGTATTATTTTGGCGGCAAAATGTCGGGCCATAAGAAACGCACAAATAGCCGAAAAAAAGGTGAATGCAAAAATATTCCCACGCATAACCTGATGACCACCTATTTCCTATTTCAACGTTGCTGTTGAAGTAGGTTAGTAGGCGATTTCATTTTGTTCCAAATTTTACCTAACGATATCTTTAGTTTCTTTGTCTCAATCAGTAATAATCAGTGATAAGAAGGCTGTGAGTCCGTAGCATTATTGATTAGGCAACAGTGCCGTCTTGATTTAGAACAGCCTGTATATAGGTTGTAGAGCAACAACTTCAAGAAGAAAATAGAAGACTCGATATGATGATGGAACAGCAAAGACAAAAGCTCATCAAAACTGAAGAAAAGAAAAGAGAGATTGAAAATAAAAAGAAGCAAAGGTGAGTCCACAGCAGTGTTGCCAATAAGGCACAAAAAGCGCTATAATTGCGCTTTTTAACTTTGGTTTGCGCCATTGCGATTTTTGGTGAGTAATTTTGTGCTTTTTCTCTATGTATTGAATGAAGTCTATTGAGTAACTAACGTCGTAGACTGATATATCACTCTCACGATGATGTTTTCTCGTTTCTGAGAGAGCTTTACAGACATTTAAATCTGAAGGAAGTTTGTGCAGCAGTTTTTTGTGACCTTTCTATAGCTTTTGATTGTGTGAATCACGAAATTATGCTGTGCGAATTGCAGCACTATGGTTTCAGAAACCGGAGCCTTAGCTGGATTAAATCTTACATTAGCCAGCGAACAAAAATCGTGAGAACAGATACGACGTCTTAGACTGGTTCAGTTCGTTATGGTGGGCCACAGGGCTCTGTTTTGGGGCCTATCTTGTTCTTATTGTATTTTAATGATTTGACTTATCTCAGGATCGATGGAAAATTCACTATTTTTCCAGACGACAACTATCCTGTGGAATGATACTGAAGTAAGAATATTCAAACGAAAATTGTCAACGATGCGCGTTGCGGATAGTATCTTGAGAATTAGGCATGGCCACGTCCAAATTATTAGTATACCGTGCTTTATTTGAGTCACACATAAGATATGGAATACCTTTCTGGGGCATTTGCAGTGAACAGAATTTCAAATCGATCTTCATCCTCCAGAAGCGGGCTATTCGATACCTCTACAAAGTGACACCTTCGTGCCTCTTCATTCTCGAAACATGGTTCACAACAATGAATAGTCATGATGCGGTTGTAAGTTCTACTCTCCAAAACAACAATTTATAAGACTCCCCATTCCATCGACGAGCTCAACTAAAAAGACATTGATTTATAATGCTGTTAAATTTTATAAGCATCTTCTAGTCGATTTCAGAAATATTGTTTCTCCAATTGATTTCATGAGATTTGTAAAACTACATGATTGTAGCATCACTTTCTTGCTATAGACACTGTGATATTAGATATAATTTATTCTTTATGTATGTATGTATGTATGTATGTATGTATGTATGTATGTATGTATGTATGTATGTATGTATGTATGTATGTATGTATGTATGTATGTATGTATGTATGTATGTATGTATGTATGTATGTATGTATGTATGTATGTATGTATGTATGTATGTATGTATGTATGTATGTATGTATGTATGTATGTATGTATGTATGTATGTATGTATGTATGTATGTATGTATGTATGTATGTATGTATGTATGTATGTATGTATGTATGTATGTATGTATGTATGTATGTATGTATGTATGTATGTATGTATGTATGTATGTATGTATGTATGTATGTATGTATGTATGTATGTATGTATGTATGTATGTATGTATGTATGTATGTATGTATGTATGTATGTATGTATGTATGTATGTATGTATGTATGTATGTATGTATGTATGTATGTATGTATGTATGTATGTATGTATGTATGTATGTATGTATGTATGTATGTATGTATGTATGTATGTATGTATGTATGTATGTATGTATGTATGTATGTATGTATGTATGTATGTATGTATGTATGTATGTATGTATGTATGTATGTATGTATGTATGTATGTATGTATGTATGACTTTGTATGACTTTGTATGACTTTGTATGACTTTGTCAATGAGAATTGTTTCTTCTTTAGACAATAAGGTATATTTTGATTGATTGATTGATTACGGTTATGGATAATATGAGTCTCAGACTTGTGTGTTGTCAGTTGTGTGTGCCAGAATCGCCGCCAATCAGCAAAATTTGATATTTGACATCACCGAAGACGAAAAATTAGATAATGCATATGTGCAAATCGTTCATTGCATTAGTAGACTGGCCGATAATGACAGACTTTTCAAAACGTTGTTTCAATGTTTGCAACTTTCGAGTAATGATTTTTTTGGTTTCTCAACATGTCCTAGACAATTATCAATTTGTGCTCGCATGCAGCGGCGTCACCAATAAAATTTGAATTTTCATTGGAAATTTGATGATTTCGAACGATATGTAAATGAATGCAAATTGATTTTTGCTGAAATTTGAAGAGGATGATACCACGTTGAAAATTTGAAGGTGGTGTAGAAAATCCCGAAATTATCAACTGAACATGTGATACATAGGGGGCTATTGTTGAACAATTATTTAATTTATGCTTTTTCGCAGCCGCATTTTTTTCGTTACTTGTATCACGATAAACTACTTCGCATACACATGCGTTGTGGTAATAGGCGAGCGGACTTAGTTTTTCATTACTCAAATCGAATCATCACTCAAATGCCACGGTAATTTTCGAACGTCTAGAAATTTAACGCAGGTAAAAACTGACGTCACGATTTCGTAAGTAGGGGCAGACTATAACACAGTTGCCATATGTTGAATTACGACTGGAAACTCCAGAAATATTTGTGAATCGATAATTCATAAATTTTCAATTATGTATTGGTATGATTACTATAATACGTATTCCGAATTATCAATTGAAAATCAGTTGTCTCGTAATTTTCCCTCATGTGTTGTGGCTTATTGCGTGTACATTAGTGTGAATAAGAATTATTATAATTCACACTAGAGGACATTTGAACAGGTGAACGTGACAACACGGCGCACGAATTGTGGTCGGTGCCTTGTCAATTCTCAGCTTTCAGCTCATTGTTGCCAAATCCTCAACATACACATGAAGGAACTATTCTATCATAGTTTCCTCCTACTATATGTTTTATCTCGTGTTTTATTCAATGACAGGAGTGGCGAGATTCTAATATCTTTTTGAAAATTTTATCATAATTGATGACTTGTACAGCAGGTCTAATCGTCAGGTTTCATTTCTAGAAAAATCCAATTTTTAGCTATAGTAGTTTTTTAAAGATAACAATGGTGCTATTGGGCCTACAGTCTTGATCATGAGCATAAATCGAAGCTATATAAATACACTAAAACTCCATCCTCAATAAACTTCCTCGTAGGATGAGTATTAGAGTCGATATTTTGCTCAGAAGAAGGCCAATACTGCAATTTTCAACTTTTGTAAAAAAAGCAATTGTTTGAAGTCCTATATGTTTGGACCCACAAGACTCAAACTGTCGGAAGTTCATCCAGCTTCAAAAAAGGTCTGATTGACTTTTTCTTTAGGAGCCCGCTTTTTAGGACTTTTGTAGTAAAAACCGAAATTAGTCGAGACATTTCCTGGTTTTTCGAGCACCACACTTTCAGCCAAGGCCTTTCGAAGCTGCAAACTTGATTTTATACTATTGGGAAATTGTCTAACAACATGCAGAAAAAAAAGAATGTACGAATTAATGCGAATTAGGTTGTCTAAAGTCAGCGGGCCTATACATTAAAACAACGTTACAAAAAAATCTGTCATTACTGGCCAGTCTTTGATGATCTCAAACATTAACACGCTCATTGATCGCCTTCATTAATACACAAGTTGGTTGAATAACTATCAACGTACAGTCGTATTCAATAAAAAAGAGTACAAGTATTAAAAAGAGAGGATTTCGGGATCCTAGTTCTTGTTTTTTTTTTTTTTTTTTTTTTTTTTATCGCTTGGAGCGCACGAAAGGGAATCCCTATAATGTTCAAAGAACATCGTGCGTTCCTAGGGAGGATAAGGAGAGGAGGTAGGTATTGGAATTTTTTTTGAACTTCTGGAGATTATATGTTGTTGGGAATACTTCCACAGGCAATGAATTTCAGAGCCTAGCCGTTCTATGGATGAAGGAGTCTTGATAAAATGCTGTTCGACATCTTTCGAGGTTGACAACGAAAGGATGTGCTGACTGGGCTTGTCTAGTTCGTCTGATTGGTATTGCTAGTGAAGGGATGATAGCAGAGATTTCCGAAGAACATTTCCCGTGGAAGTATCGATAGAAAAGTGAAAGGTCTCCGACCTTCCTACGGTGTTCCAATGATGTCAAAGAGTGAGTGAGTGTGGCGTCACCTACCAGGCGAATGACTCTTCTCTGGATGGAATCTAAGAGCATCAGCGTATGTTTTGGTGCTGAACCCCATAAGTATGTTGGAACAGTATTCTAGAACAGGCCGTATCTGCGCTTTGTAGATCATGAGAAGCTGTTGAGGTGTAAAGTAGCTTTTCGCACGGAACAAGAATCCGAGTTTTTGTGAAGCAGCTTTTGCGATGGATCTGACATGATTATTCCATGAAAGAGTGTTGCTGATGGAAATACCGAGCATAGATATGGTGGGCTTGGTGGGAATGGTGGAGCCAGACATTACAATATCGGGCATACTCCGCCTTTCTAGAGAAAATGCAGGCTTGAGTTTTGGTGGCGTTGAATTCAACTAGGTTGTTTGTTTCTCCAGGCTGTGATTTCAGCAAGATCTTCATTGACAGCATTGACCTACCTGCGCCGTGAGTTCTTAGTTTCCTGGAAAGAAATGGGAATTCTGGAAGAGAACGCAGTATGGAGCGTACTATCATCTGCAAAGCTGTGGATGGGGCAAGTTGTTACTCCCAACAGATCATTGATATGAAGCAGGAATAATGTTGGTGCCAAAATTGATCCTTGTGGAACGCCGGAATTGATGCCAATTGTATCAGACGATACACAGTCCACCACCACGTGAAGCGATCTGCCTGAAAGAAAACTTGATAAGAGATGGCATAGCTGAGGTGGTAAGCCGTATGATGGTAGTTTGTGGAGGAGTCCTTCGTGCCAAACAGTTGTGTAAAACTAGCTCAGCCAATGCTTTGTGTTTTCGAGAACCTATGACAACTTCACTGTCAACATTTGTTGAACAATCAATCCCGATAGCCCGTTATTGGCCCGTTTTATGCAGAATAGGATGACGTTAATATCTCTCTGTAATATACTTGAACGCTTTTTTTTTAATGCGACTGTACGCCCTGCATACAAAAACGTCATCCACTAAGTAAGAAAAAATCATCTGGGCCTTGTGTTATATGGTTTGTAGATACGTCACCGAGGTCAAGCAACAGATAAAAGAGAACGAGATAACGCAGTTACTGGAGGCGGAAAAGACGGAAGAAGAAAGCCGGATGTTGAACAAAGCGTTGATCGCTTTGCAGAAGGAGGAGGAGGAGAAACTGAGGCAGAAGAAGGAGACGCAGCTGAAGATGCGAGAGGAGTTCCGGAAAGCTAACGAAGAGGCCGAACGGTATAAGAGTATGAGGCAGGAGGAACAGAGGGTTGCCGAAATGAGAGTAAGCTAATTTTTACAACCCAACATATTCACACAAATTATTGATAGAAATCAAGAACTCGAAGCATTTCAGAAATAAAAGAACAACAATGGTAGAGAGAAATACAACTAGCGGGTCGTCAACAATGATTGAACACCACGTGACCAACTTGGCAACTTATGGCATAAATATCCACCTATAGTTCCAGCTGTATACAGGGTGTTCGACCGACAACGCTTGATAGGTGATAGCCCTCGTGATTTCATAATCACTGAGATAGGGACATACGGTCTTCAAGTGTTCAGTTCTCGAGATACAGGGCGTTGAAGTTAAAAAAATTAAATACATTTTTCGCAATATTTAAAGAAAAATTGAATATAATGTATTCAAATTCGGTATATGGTTTCATCTTTCAATGGTTCATTTCAAGAATTTTATCCAGAGGTGCGCTACTACAGGGGGTTGTGATAACTTTTCCTCTCATATTTTCTACGCCACTGATGAAATTTCGATTATTTCCAATTTCTCGAATTGATTGTTCAATTATGTTGAGAAATGCATCACCTTCAACTGAGCTGAAATAGACAGTTATCGAGATATTTGACCCAAAATTGGAGTTTGCATAATCACTTTTAATCTTCCTCAGTAGTGAAAACTACAAAAAAGTTTGTTTTCTCTTTATGCGTGAAATAACTATTTTTGTTCAGCTACGGAATGAGATCTGAATAGTAGGTATCTAATCTACTCAACACCAGAAAAATGTTTTTGCAATTTTCCACTACTGAAAATTATGAAATATTACAATGCAAATCTTCTATTTTGGGTCGAATATCTCGAAAGCTGTACATTTCAGCTCAGTTGAAGGTGATACATCTTCTTGAACAAAATTGAACAATAATTTCGAGGAATTGGAAATAATCGAAATTTAATCAGTGGCGTAGAAAATATGGGAGGAGAAGTTACTGTAATATCTTGACAAATTATTTGTATCACACTGTAGATAATATATCGAGGACGTATTTGTATCACATGGTATATAAAGGAAGATATATTTATATTCATGAATGTTTTTACTACGGCTAGGAAACCCACTTTTTATATTTATAAAAAGGGATACGGGCCTGCTCGTTCTCGATATCAATGTTGGAAATAAACACTTGCTTTTCGACTTCTGAAATTATTAATACTCCTCTCCACAGTAAATAAATAAATTTAGCAAGTCATTACACTGGCGCAGTCGAAATAAATCGAATCTACAATGTCGATTGGGAGACTGGAAGAATTTAAAATGGGTGATAAGAATTGGAACACGTATGTATTACGAATGGAACAATACTTTAAAGCCAACAAAGTGTCGGAAGAATTGAAGACCGCTACACTAATCACCGCGGTCGGAATGGAAACTCTCGATTTAATGATCGATTTGTGCAGTCCAAGTAAACCTGAAGAAAAATCATACAGAGATCTAGTTGATATTTTAACGAACCATCTACAACCTATTCCATCCGAAATTGCGGAAAGATATCAATTTCGACAACGGAAACAAGAAGTGGGTGAGTCGATTTCAATGTATGTAGTAGCCCTGAAGAAGTTAGCCAAAAATTGCAAATTTGCTGTAAATTTAGAAGATCAGCTTAGGGATCAACTAGTTTTTGGTTCAGCTAGTGACTCCATACGTCAACGACTTTTTGCAGAAAAAAACTTGACTTATGCTAGAGCACATGATTTAGCTGTCAATTTGGAAGCTGCCGAGAGAAATTCTGGAATGATCGAACCGACGACAGTACATAAACTAAGTTCATCGTACAATAAAACGGATAATTCATCACCAGGGTCCTCCAATCAGTCTGGATCTCCTTGCATGCATTGCGGGAAGAGAAATCTTGGAAGCAGTATCTGTTTTTTCAAGAATGCTAAATGTAATGGGTGCGGAGGAAGAGGTCATATCAGCACCATTTGTAAAAGTAAAAAAGGTTTTAAAAAAAATTCTAGTAAGGTAAATAATATGTTTTTCTCTTCTGAAACTGACGAACATAAATATGATTCTGAAGATAGTTTAGACATGTTCAATATAAGATCTAAAAATGAAAAACCAATCAAAGTCGACGTATGTGTAGATGATTTACAGTTAAGTATGGAATGCGATACAGGGTCGCCTATTGCTGCAATCTCACAACAAATGTATGAACAAAAATTTCGTAAATTTTTTTTAGAAAAATCTGATTTGAATTTGAAATCCTATACTGGTAATTTATTGAGTATCTTAGGCTTTATTTATGTCACTGGTTCGTATAATGGTTTGTCAGTAAACAAATTAAAATTATATGTGATAATAAATGGTGGTCCTCCATTGCTGGGCAGAGATTGGATAAAAAAAATTGAATATTTCCATTGATAATTTATTATTCTTCAATAATATGGAAGAAATTGACATTCCAAAAGTACCCAAGTTATTACAATCCAAATTTCCAGATGTTTTCAAAGTAGAGCTGGGTAAATTTAATAAGGGTATAGCTAAATTACACCTCAAAGAAGGAGCTCGTCCCATTTTTTGTAAAGCACTTAACATTGCCATAGCGCTCAAAGAAAAAGTTGATAACGAATTGATTAGATTGGTCGAATGTAATATTTTACAACCCGTAGAATATAGTGAATGGGCAACTCCCATCGTGCCCGTCCTAAAAAAAAAAGACGGTGAGGTTAGGATTTGTGGGGATTTCAAAGTCACCTTAAATCCTAATTTGCACGTTGATCGTTATCCCATTCCGAAGATAGAACATTTATTTGCAGCACTAAATAATGGCAAATATTTCAGTAAAATTGATTTATCTCAGGCGTACGCACAAATAGAATTAGCGGAGGATTCAAAAAAATTAGTCACACTTAACACTCACAGAGGTTTGTTTCAAATGAACCGACTTCCCTTTGGTGTATCATCGAGTCCAGGTATTTTTCAGAGAATAATTGATACAACTTTTGCAAACATTGAAAATGTAGCCATTTTTCTGGATGATTTGTTGATCACTGGCAAATCGGTGGCAGATCATTTGAATAATTTATACAACGTTTTTGAAAAATTACAGGATTGTGGATTTCGCGTGAAATTGAATAAATGTTCTTTCTTTCAGGAGAAAATAACTTTTTTAGGATACACTATTGATAAACAAGGTTTATCCACATCTCAAGAAAAAATTCAGGCCATTTTGAAAGCACCGGTTCCCTCAAATATCACCGAACTAAAATCTTTTTTAGGTTTAGTCAATTTTTATGGAAAATTCATCGAGAATTTAAGTGAGAAATTATACCCATTATTTTTGTTATTAAAAAAAGATAACAAATGGAATTGGGGAAATGAACAAAATAAATGTTTCAAATTGATTAAATTAGAATTGACATCAAGCAAATTACTAGTACATTATGATCAAGAGTTACCTGTAACGTTAGCATGTGATGCAAGTTTCTATGCTATTGGTGGTGTTATTTCACATGTTTACCCCAATGGTGATGTCAAACCAATTGCATATGCATCCAGAACCTTATCAAACACGGAAAAGGCATATAGTCAATTGGATAAAGAGGCTTGTGTCATAATTTTTTGTGTTAAGAAATTTCACGATTTTTTGTACGGAAGATTTTTTACGTTATTGTGTGATCATAAGGCATTGATTTCTATTTTTGGAGAAAAAAAAGGCATACCCATTTATGCAGCAAATCGCTTGCAGAGATGGGGAATTATTTTAAGTACCTACAATTATGCAATAAAATATATTGAATCTAAAAAAAATTATGCTGATGCTATGTCTCGATTACCATTGAGTACAGTCGACGAAGAGAAACATGACTATTCACATATATTTTATATAGAGGAAAATTTACCAATTGATTATCGACAAGTGGCATTCTATACCAAGAAAGATGCCATGTTAAACAGAATCTATGGTTTTTGTCTGAAGGGTTGGCCTGAGACAGTGTCGGAACAATTCAAACATTTTTTTAATAAGCGGGATCAATTGCATTTAGAACACGGATGCATCTTATGGGGCTATAGAGTAGTTATACCCCAAAAATTACAATCTTACCTTTTGAAAGAATTGCATTTAACGCATATGGGGGTTAGCAGATGTATGGCTATGGCACGCTCTTATTTTTGGTGGCCTCTTTTAGACAGGCAAATTGAAGACATGTGCAAGAAATGTGACGCATGCAATCATGTTAGAAGTAATCCGGAAAAAACGATTTTACATCCATGGCCTTACGAAAATGCCCCATGGAGCAGATTACATCTAGATTTCTTAGGGCCTCTTTTTGGAAATAAATATCTCATAATAATTGATTCGTTCACAAAATGGCCTGAGGTTTATAAAACAAATAATTCTAATGCTAGAAACATTATAGTTATCCTACAAGAACTATTTTCTCGTTTTGGTTTACCCACTAAAATAGTCTCAGATAATGGTCCCCCTTTTGCTTCACACGATTTTAGTAATTTTCTCAAATTAAATGGAATTAGGCAACTTTTCAGTACTCCCAAGCATGCACAGAGTAATGGGCAAGCTGAAAATTCAGTAAAAATTTTCAAATTAGCGTTAAAAAAAGCTGTTTTTGAAAACAAAAACTCTGATGATTTTTTGATAAAATTTCTATTCGACTACCGCAACACTCCTCATGCCACAACGGGAGAAAGCCCTGCAAAAAAAATGTTCAACCGAAATTTGAGAAATAAATTAGATTTATTGATACCAAATAGTAAAAATATAGTAGAAAAAAAAGTAGAGAAACAGGTGGAGAATTTCGGAGGAAAAAACATTAAAGATTTTCAACTAGAGGAAAAGGTTCTCTTTAGAGATTTTCATAATCCAACTAATCCAACGTGGACAGAGGGAAAAATAGTTAATAAAGAGGGTTCAGTGATATTTGGCATAAAAACTCCTGAAGGAAAAGAATACAGGAGACATTCGAATCAAATTCGACCATTAAGAACATCAGGAATGAGAAATTCTCTCGAATTTGCAGTCGAGGATCCTACTGAGAATAATGCGGTTATCAATGAAAGCAATAGTCATAGCAATGATGGTAGCCTAACAAGTCCGGAATTAACTGATAACCTGCCTTCGACAAGTGACATAAGTAATAACGCGGAAGTGTCTTCAATAAACCCTTCCACCGATACTAATAATAGTCGATATTTTTTGAGACCAAGAAATTAAGGAGTGGTGTTAGTACCTAACATTTTTAGTTTTCAGGATGGTAGTTTAGTTTATTTGTTAAATATCTATTATTCATACGGTCCGATATTATCCGTTATATATAGTTCATGATTTTTGAGGTATTATGTGAATGTTTGCAGGAAAATAAATAATAGCAATAGTACCAACTTATCTTTTCTTAATAGGTATATTATATAGATACTAAATATATTTTTGTATTGTTTTTTCAATGAAGAAGGGAAAGTGTAATATCTTGACAAATTATTTGTATCACACTGTAGATAATATATCGAGGACGTATTTGTATCACATGGTATATAAAGGAAGATATATTTATATTCATGAATGTTTTTACTACGGCTAGGAAACCCACTTTTTATATTTATAAAAAGGGATACGGGCCTGCTCGTTCTCGATATCAATGTTGGAAATAAACACTTGCTTTTCGACTTCTGAAATTATTAATACTCCTCTCCACAGTAAATAAATAAATTTAGCAAGTCATTACAGTTACCAGAACCCCCTGTAGGGAACCACTGGATGAAATGTCCGGAATAGCTTTCTGGTTTAAAAATGACCCATTCAAAGATGAAACCATTTATCGACTTTGAATGCATTATATCCAATTATTCTTGAGATATTGCGGAAGAACATTTTTTTTATTTTTCAACTTTAACGTCCTGTATCTCGATAACTAAACACTTGAAGACCGTATGTCCCTATCTGCTCAGTGATTATGAAATCACGAGGGCTATCACCTGTCAAGCTCTGTCGGTCGAATTTCGCAACACCCTGTATATAGGTATAGGAAGCGAATTCCAAATTGTTTTCATCGTTATATGGAAATTTATTGAAGCGAAATACTAGCAATGTGATATTTCCATACTTATACAGGCTGATTCACGGTGAATGGTACTTTAGACGTTTCTGAGAATGGAATAATATACAGGGTGTCCCGTTTAAAAATATCGAAGTTGTTGCTACTTTTCAATATGAGTGCCAACGTCGCAGCGCAACGCAGGTCGATAGAAGACACCTAATTATTCAAGGCACCAACTTTTCAGAATAATCCTGAGTTGCGTTCTCCAGAAACGTCTAATATATGCCATCCAGCGTGAATCAGCCTGTATACAAAAACATCTGTCATCTTGAAAAAATTCACAAACTCAAATGAAATACAATCACTTAACCGAAGATGAATTCTAATTTTTCACTTTCAAATCATTCGAGCTGTTCTTCTATTTCACTTGAATCGACCGTACGCGATGAGATCTAGAACGAGACTGCCGATTGGTTTGATTCATCATTTGGATGACTAATCAGTAACGTCATCCTTTCAACCTATTGATTCCTGAACGAGTAATTCCCATATCGATAGTAAGGTATACGAGATGAGTGTCACCGTTGAAGTATGTATCATATGGGAATTCTTATTCTTCATTTCACCCTGTATATTCTATAACTAGTTCAAGAACATGAACAATAATGAAAAATCGACCTATAACTCTCTACAAAATGGTGAGTGTTCTAGCAATTCTTTCTAATACATATTTTCAATACCTCTGTAAGAATCGAATTATTTCATCCTAAATGAGATATATAAAGGCATTCTTTCAACTCTCAACAGAAAGGCAAATATTTAGCAACTTGTTGTTTCATTAATATCCATCTAGTTCCTCTGTATATATAGAGGTATACAAAGCGAATTTCGAATATTTGCATCGATATATGAGAACTTACCGGAGCAAAATACTAGACATATAATGAATACTTCTATTATCATATACGGAAACACACACCATCTTGAAAAAATACAACTTTTCCACACTAAAATGCAATACATTCACCAGACCGAAGATTAATCAACATTTTTCACTCTTGAATAATTCGAGTTATTTTTTTATATCACCTGAGCCGACCGTACGCGATGAAATCTAGAACGAGACTACCGATTGGTTTGATTCATCATTGTGATGACTATTCAGTTACGTCATCCCTTTAACCGATTAATTCCCAAGCAAGTACGACTAATTGCGATATTCATAGTTGGTATACGGGGTGGGGTGAGGAGAAATTTAATTACAGCGTCCTTGTTGAAGCCTGCATCATATGATTTTTTTCATTATTCAGTTCTTTCTTTGGAAACGTTAATTGCGAACCTAACGACTCTCTTGATCAATCGATATTTGTCGAATTAGACATTTTCTGTCAGAAAATACAATATCGAGAATTTCATTCTTCGAATATTAACGATTTCATATTGGCACATAAATTCAATATTAGCTGAAACAAAATAACTATTTTACATTCCTAAATTCTCAGTGTTGAAGCAAGATTACGAAAATGATTCTTGTATTTGTTATAATTTCGAAACAATGGTTCCTATTGAAATTAATACAAGGTGGTCAAAAAATCTAAATTTATAATTTGTTTTTATTAAATGTCAATTGAACACCAATTGATAGTGAGTGAAAAGTTGAGATAGGGACATGTAAACCGTTTCGACGAATAATGAACAGCTTCGACAGAAAAAAATCCTGAACTTGGAAAATCTCGTTTTGCACACCCTATATGTCAGTAACTTTCACTGCTAGACCCTAAGTATGATGGGTCGTTGAAATCTGATCTTCAGGGAGAATTCAAAAATTAAATAAAATATAGGGTGTTCTAATGAAAAAAACATAGCTTTGATGTGCTGTGACCTTACGGAACACCCTGTGTATTTCAGAGAAATTTTGAAATGTGAAGCTCGGTTATCACTTTAATTTGAATGCGAAATTTTTTTTTGTATCTCTCAAGACAACAGAGGTATCGAACTCTGGATTCTTTGTTGGCCACCCTGTACACCAAAATGACTCCGACCAAGTTGGTCAATTTTCATCTTATTTGAAGCAGAACTCAATGCCCAAGTCGAATTTTGAAATGAATTAGTATTGAAAGGTTTTCCTATATGATGCCAACTTTATAAATGACACTATATATATTGAATTTCCACAAACTTCGAAGTGAGATGAAAAACTCAATCTGTCAACATTCCGCAGAGTTATCACCACCATTCGTGATTTCATTAATTCATCCTTGTTTGGCTTTTAAAATTATTGGCGTATACATTTTGATGATTTATAAATGAATCGCGATGTCCATCCATTATTGTTATCTAGTCTAAGGTATTTTCAAGGTCCAAGAGTTCATGAGGCAAAAAGCAGCCAGGGAAGAGGCCAGAGAAAAGGAGATGGCTGTGACGAGAGCTGCTAAGGAGAAGGAGATCGCCAGGATGAGGGCGCAGCAGGAGAAGGGCCAGGACTATCAGGCCCTCATGGACGAGATGAACGCTTTGAGGTCGCAAGAGGAGGTGAGAATTATATCTACAGGGTGGGCCTCATCTTGTTGAAATTCTTCCTCCATGTCAACATAGGCTACCATTTGAAATCATTTCGAAACATACCATTACCGTGGCATTATTGATGATTTCAGCACCTAAAAATTGACCAAAAAATTCTGAGATTGAAAGGTATTTGAGTGACGAGTCTATTTGAGAAATAAAAAAAATTTGTACACTCGTCTATTATGTACTTCCTCATATCAGATCCTATTCTGTCTGGAAGTTGTTTGATGAATAAATAAGTAAATAAATAAAATAAATAAATATTCACTCCACGTTGAGGTAGTTTGAGCTTCTACCTTAAATTGATATTTTTTTATTCTAGAAAGAGAGAGAGTGGCGCGAAACCGAAAAAATCGCTGTCAAGAAGAAGCTCGATTTGATAGAAGATTTGAAGGTCGCCAGGGCCAAGCAAATAAATGATATAAGAAAAGCTCAGGCAGTGTCTTTGGCTAGAGATGAAGAAGATTTTATGAAGGTATATCTTTCGTTGTTCATTTTCTCCTATACCTACAGTAAGGGTTTCCATCATGTGATGTTTTTCAATCTATTTTCCATTTTCATGATAAAGTAAAATTTCCCGAATCATCAGGTTTATCAGTAAACGGCTCGCATTTTTAGCTGTGCGTAAATGGCTTTAACCTGCGACCACTATAAAAAGTAGGCCAGAACACATGAGATAGTACATTATACATTACATATATTATTTATTATTATCCTAGGTGATGACAATCTTATAATAATTATTTTATTCACTCCTTTGGACAAAGAAGCTGCACCGAGGAGAGAAAATCCCATAAAATCTGGAATAATTAATGTACGACCTCCTCAATTAACCAAAAAAAGTTCTCAAAATTCAATAAATTACCTGATGATATCAAAAGTTGCACAACTATCACCCAATTCAAAATTAAAGTCAAGAAACATATCCTCTTGAAAAGAGAAAATCAAACCTGAGTAAATAATTTCTCATTCACTAATTTATTTCATGTCATAATGTACTTTTCATGAGCTTTTTGTTTTATTATTATTATTTTTGAATCTGTTGTTCATTTCAATGATTATAATTTAATTTAATAACGCATGAATAATATATAATAATAAATAAATATTATTATTATTATATTTGTAACCTACAGACCGTATATCCCAGGGATACTTTCTCAGTAGGCAAACAAAGCAATGCCACAGAAGAACAAAAGCTTTACCTTCAATATCCTTTGAAGACTTCTTTGGGAATGCATATCACGCCTCAAAAAACATTCTGATGCCTACATTTCTAAAACATCCCAAAACATCCCAGGGATACCTCTCAGTAGGCACACAAAGAAAGGCCACAGAAGATCAAAAACAATACTTCAATATCCTTCAAAGACCTCTTTGGGAAGTGCATAATACTACGTCTCTAAAAAACATCTTCATGCCGATATTCATTTTATTTTATTTTATTTTATTTTCACAAACAGGAATACAAACAGGACGAACCCAGAGACAGTATTCACATATAGGTGTACTAAATATGTCATGTTGTTAGGAATTCAAATTCCATTATACAGCAGTATTTTATATATTTTATATGAAAAAGAAAAATTTTCAATATATCATCAATTAGATGCTGGAACAAAATGTTTCTTGAGTTTGTTCACAAAGATTGTTGAAGAGTCGGAAAAAATATCAATCTCTATTATGTTTGAAATGGAGTTATAACTTTTCAAGCATCGATGTAAAGGGGAGTTGAGATAGTAATTTGTGTTCGGTATGGATGTATGGAACAAGTTATAATAGCGAGTGGAATATTGTGGAACATTGTAATGGATCAAGTTATTTATAGATGTGGAATGAATGATTCCATTTATAATTTTGAAAGAGAATTTGATATCGGCGATAGCTCTTCTGTCAGCAAGACTAATCAAATTAAGTTTTCGAATTACGAAGTGATTTTGTGGCGTGTTTTTGAAATATTTTTTGTTGATACAAGCAATGAATTTATTCTGAATACTTTCTATTTGTTTGGTGTATATTATATAATAGGGATTCCAAATGATTGAGCCGAAGCCTAGCTCATTCACGTATGACATGTAAAGAGTACGCAAGGTATTATAATCTTTGAAAGGATACGTTGTTCTCAAAATGAAACCTAGCATTCTGTTCGCTTTCTTAGAAATGTAAGAAATATGTTTATTGAAAGTAATTTTTGAATCAAAAATAATTCCCAAATCCTTCACTTCACTACATATGTGGAGATAATGATCCTGCATGATATAGTTATGAGTAATTAAATTAGAGTTTCTACTAAAAGTCATCTGATGGCATTTGTTGAGATTCAGGATGAGGGAGTTATTTCTGCAGTACTCTGAGAAGCGATCATGGTCCTCTTGAATGAGCATACAATCAAGTGTGAAACTGTATGAAATATTTTAAGATCGTCAGCATACATAAGGAAATACGAGAATTTGAAACACTCAGAGATGTCATTTATATAAATATTGAAAAGTAGGGGACCTAGATGTGAGCCTTGAGGAACACCCGACGTTATATTGACTGATCTTGAAAGATAATTACCAATACAAACTGTCTGATTACGATTACTTACGTAAGATTGAAACCAATTCAGCAGGGAGCCGGTCACACCAACATCAGCCAGCTTTTTCAAAACATCCCAGGGATGTTTGTGTTCGCTGGGTAAATCTTCACCTTTTTTTTCTGAACTCCAATTTGATCTTACGAAAAAATTTTAAATGAGTGTTCAGTGAATTTTCATAAACTATACAGAGGAATTGATATTAGACAATTGATAACTTGCTCATTTGCTACTTGAGAATTCATTGCTGCACTAAACAACTGGAACTGGTACTGGTACTGGTGGGGGACGTTTCCACGTCAGCAACTAGTCCCCAATGGGACCTTTTTGCAAACCCCAAGTGTTTTCAATGACTGATGTGGTTCGCTCAAGAGAGCTGGCTAACATCTTTTTCAGGCACCGCCCATCAGCTCTCTTTTCAGAGTTTTTCAGATGTGTTTTGTAGGCTACTAATGTACTCACTACCATATGCGCAGTGGCAGGCCTGCTAACTATCCTCGTTAACCCCCGACACCGAGGTCTACTTAAGCAGCTGGGCCGCTCTCACGCTCAGCTGGTAGTTTTCCACACCCACCTACATACACCGTCCTACTTCTTCTCTGATGCTCACAACCACATCATCATATCTTTCTGCGTGTTCTGTGTAGGCTTTGTTACTAACTCCATGCGCCACTTTAGGAGCAGCACTGTTAATTGGAACGCAATAGCGAATCGTGCAGGACTATCCCCAGCCGATGCTCCGAAACTTTACACTAAACAAAATTACACTCGACGCTCTACAATACAAAAACGGTGGTTCCTTCAAGGTTGCGAAAGTGCAAAGACAGCTGTTCGAGAAGGACTTGGAGGAGCAGCAGAAGAAGAAGCAGCAGATCGCCCGGCATCGCAAAGAGTTGCTGATGCAAATCAACGACAAGGAGCGCGAGAGAATACACTGGCAGCAGGAGAGGTTCGAGGACGGCAGGGCGCAACGTTTGGAGGTGGAAATCAAGGACAAAAACGTCGAGGATTATCTGAAACAGAAAATCGACAAGCTCAAGTATTTATACTTTCGAAATTATGTAATGCGCATTATGCGGGGAAGTTCTCCTGTGAAGTCCCAGGGATGTCCTACAGGGAACTCCCAGGGACATCCTACGAGGATGTTCCAGGGAGTTCCTGTAGGGAAGTCTCTAGAAAGTCCTGCGAGGAAGTCCCAGGGACTTTCTGCAGGGAGGTCCCAAGGAATTCTTTTAGGACTCAATTATTTCACCTCAATAAGAAATTCATGATAATTTAATGCGCATCTGGCAGGGAGCTCCTGTGATATTTCAGATATTTCCTATGGAAACGTCCCAGGGTAAGTCCTAGGAAGTTCATATAGGGAAGTCTGTGGGAGGTCCTACGGGGAAGTCGCAGGGAATTTTCACGGGGAAGTGCCAGGGAGGTTCTGCAGGGAGGTCTCCTCAAATACAGATAGAATTTGGAATTTTTATGTAAAATAATTTTGAGTATAAGGCGTCCTTGATATTTTTCTGTAGCTTTCAAAATATTCAAATATGCCTTAGTAAAATGAGCTATATCTCATAAATATCTGGGGTTCATGTTCCAAGAATAATTTTTAGAAAGTACCTGTTCTATATGAGAAGGCATTAAAAGTACTGCATCGTCTTCCTTATGACAAACCATCAAATCAACTATACAGGGTGAGTCAGTTTTCTGTAGCAGTACTTTAACGGCTTGAAGCAAATATTTCTTCAAGATGAAGATTTTATACAAACATATATGCGTGAGAGCTTTGTTTCCGATATACAGGGTTTCAAGGACTCTCGATATAGCGTTTCCAAAGTGTATCAGGTTAGGTACCAAAATTCAATTCATAATTTTAAAAATGTAGGAGAAAACTTTAAAAACTCAAGAAAAATCTCAAACTTTGAAACCCTGTATATCGGAAACGAAGCCTCCACGCATATATGTTTCAATAAGGTTTTCATCTCGGAAAGATGTGTTTCTCAAGCTACAAAATACGGACTCGAAAAATAAAGTTTCATTATAAGTAAATTATTTTTGGCATTTATCTTGAATGATGAAAAAACAGAGGAAGAGCAATTGAAAACAGAGGCGGTACGCAAAAAAGTTCGAGAGAGTTAACTCGGGTACGACCTTCAAAAGTGTATCATCCTGTAGGTATTCAAGAACGCTCGACAGTCCCAAATATTGCGTTTTCAAAGTGTGATAGGTACCCACCCCAAATTTCAGTTAGGAGGAAATTGGAAAAAACAAAAAAAAACTTGAACTTTGAAACCCTGTATATCGGAAACAAAGCTCCCATTCATATATATTTACAAATAATTTTCATCTTGAATAAATGTCTTCTCTCAGCTGTCAAAGTCCTGCTTCAAAAAACTGACTGACCCTGTATAAAGAAACAAATACATTTTCTTTGGAAGAGCATACTCTTCTTGAAGCTGCTCTACACTTGGTCAAAAAAAGTTTACTCACGGGGGCTATCTCAAAATTCAATAAATTGCCTAATTCAAAATTCAAGTCGAGAAATATATCCTCTTGCTAAGAGAAAATCAAACCTGAGTGAATGATTTCTCATTCACTAATTTATTACATCTTGTTTTCATGAGATTTTTGATTATTATTATTATTTTTGTATGTGTTGTTTATGTCAATAACTTAGATTTAATAACGCATGAATAATCTCATACCAGAAATGTATCTGTCTGATTATTCATGTTATTACATTATAAACCTTAATAATAGCATATAATAGTAATTTTTGTATCTAGAGCGCGAAATGCTACTTTGATGATCGAGATCTGATTTTTTTAACGAGGTGTAGCCGAGTTAAAAAATAGTCGAGATGACCAAAGTATTTCGCGCTCGAGTTGCAAACAACATTTTTTCTACAAACGTCAAAAAATATAGTTCTAAAGTAAAAATATGCTAAGCTTGATATAAAAAATAGTGTTGAACTGGCCTAAAAGGCCTCCCCCTATCATCCCAAGGTACGCACGATGTTCCCCGAACATAATAGAAATTTCCTTTCGTGCGCTCCAAGAGATAAAACAAAGTTATTGTTGAACATTCAGAAATAATTGATTTCGTGGATGTTTGCTCGATTGAAGACCATGAAGTTGAAGAATAATTATCTCATATATTTTACATAACAATGCGCGAAATAGGTACTTCGCGCACTGTTTTACTTCGCGCATTGTTTTGTGCAAGGTATCATGGTAACGTAGGAAACTGAAAAAAAGTGTCACTTCGCAATTTGTTATCAATGCGCGAACCTTGTCATTTTTTGACGTTTGTAGAAAATAGTTTTTTAACCAACTAGTGTATGTCGATTGATGATCGAGATATTTTAACGTGCGAGCGAAGCGAGCGCGTTAATGTTCGAGATCATTATTCGCCTTTTAATATACGAGTTGGTTACAAAATTTTTCCGTCGACTATATTTCTCATTTCTCCTGCAATGAAGAAAACTTGGTTCGCGAATTCATATCATTCATCCGGAAACTACTAAGAATCACCCAGTAGCCTTATTGTTACTGACATTAGTGACATTTGACATTTGTCGAAATGATCAACATAGAAAATAAATTCCTTGTGTTAGAAAACAGGGATTAAAATCATTTCAGAAACTTGGAAAGGCGAATCCGTTAACGGAAAATCATCGATGAAATCCATATTTTCGATTTAAATGCAGATTCCGTAAGTTATAACGTAAACAATGAATGCATGCGCTGTATGTTTGGTTGCCTATAAAACAATCGTGCATTAATAGACAAATTGATCATTAATAGGGGTCATTAATGAACGATTTCTTATACATTAAACTTCGTTAATACGAGGTCGACGGAAAATATATTTTTCTACATTCATGCAAAAAGCAGAACTTCATTGAACTATATCAAGTGGAAAAAGAAGTTCTTTATTGCACTTAGTGCAATAAAGTTTTTATTGCACTCATCTGTCATTCTACTTCAACGTGTTGTCATCATGACAAACATTTTTTATATTGCAACTGTGGTTATAGAAACGTCAGTCAAAAATTAATTCTGACAATTAACAGAATTGTACCTAGTGCCGCACCTCAATAAATCATTTTTTGCTTTTTGCATGAACGTAGAAAAAATGTTGTATGTTACTCGTGCAAAAATTGTTTATTGCACTCGACGTGTTGTCCATTTCGGCCTCTCGGCCTCGTCGGACAATTTCACGTCGAGTGCAATAAACATTCACTTTTTGCACTTGTTGCATAAATAACTATTATGAGGCTTCTAATAAAAAAAATTCCTCATCTGTTTCATTTCATGTGGAAATAATTTATTGATCTATTTTCAGGGAGAATAATATACCGGAGCAGTATATTGGTGATATAGAAAGGCGACTGAAACTGAGAAAATAATATTGTTTCTTCAACATAATATATTATATATTTTTTATATCTATTTCGAAAGAAATGTTGATTTTTATCGTACATTGACTTGAAATTAATCAACCTTACACCATCAAAGGTAATACGAGTACTTTAAATTTTATCGATACATTTTTATTTTCCACGAACACTCTTATTTCTCGCGATTTTATCTAAATCTGTTTTGTTTGATTATATTTATAAAAAACGAAAAGCTACGGAAATTAATGTTGTCACAACTCAATTGCCAATCAGAAATTTTCAGTGAATATTCGCGATTAACCTAATTGAAGGTTGCTTAATCCAGTGGTGGAGTCGATTTTTCAATAAAATATCGCTAATGATATCTCGCAATTTTTATCATGAGAGAAAAAATATAGTATGTTCAGAAAATTGGAATTATACAGGCTGATCCACGGTGGATGGCCTATTATAGAAGTATCTGGAGAACAAAAAGACAGAACATTCTGAAAATTGGGATGCTTTGATAATTGAATATTCTCTATCTGTCTAAAATATTTTCATCGATACAGTGTTGCCACTTCTATCAGAAACAACTAGCAACTTCGTTATTTTAAATAGAGCACCCTGTATTTTATTGCATTTTTAGATTCTACCTGAAAAGCTGATTTCATCAATGTATCACACTTGGGGTCTAGCAGGAATGATTACATAGATATAGGGTGATCAAAATCGGGATTTTTCAATTTCAGGATTTTTTGTGTCGAAAGTATTCATTATTGATCAAAACGGCTTACATGTCCCTATCTTAACTTTCGATTCACTATCTACTGACATTTAATTGGAACAGGATGATCAGAATTCTGAATCTTGAAGCACCTTGTATTTTTTCAATCAAATTCCAGTAGATAGTCAATCAAAAGTTAAGATAGGGACATGTAAGCCGTTTTGATCGATAATGAATAGTTCTGACACGAAAAAATGCTAAAATTGAAAATTCTCGATTTTGAACACCCTATATCTCTGTAATCATTTCTGCTAGACCCCAAGTGTGATGCATTGATGAAATCAGCTCTTCAGAAAGAATATAAAAATGCAATAAAATTCAGGGTGTTCCATTTGAAATAACAAAGTTGCTAGTTGTTGCTGATAGAAGTGGCAACACTGTATCGATGAAAATATTTTAGACAAATAGAGAATGTTCAATTATCGAAGAAACCCAATTTTCAGGAGGTTCTGTTTTTTCGTTCTCCAGATACTTCTATAATAGGCCATCCACCGTGGATCACCCTGTATTTTGAAAATTTGTGTTTTTTTTTATCGCTTGGGTTACACTTTATATTTGTCCCACTTCCGTTCATCAAACCACATCTCAAGATCCTTTTAATTATTAGAGATTTCAATTTCGAAAATGATACCTTGTAATTTAGCCATTCATGGATGGAAAAAACTCGATTAAAATTAATTTCGAGTTTAGTGAGAATGCCCGATTTAGCCATGAGGAACAAAAGAAGCAGTTCGTAGTGTTTCCGAAAGGAATATAAAAGAAATGACGATAAGAAATGTATAAAACGTTTAATGTTCAAACACGAATTCCACAGAACTCAAAGATCCTTCCTCGCTCAAATTCTCATTCTCAAGCCTCTTTGACTGAAATAGCTTCTTCACTCCCAACTGGAACCTCCTCCACTTTGGCTAACTCTTCGATCAGCATCCCCTGTTTCTGGATTTTCACCTCTGCCTGTGCGTCGGAAGGTAGCTCGTACTTAACCTCAATCTCCAACTCCCGGGCGAATCTGGATGGGTCTTCTTCCAGTTGGGTTCCCAAATCGCCGTCCACGGTGGAATTCAGGGTGATAATGTAGGGGGGTTGTTGGTAAATGGGGTAGCTGTCGAGGCCTGGGTAGCCACCATATGGTACGTTTCCTTGGTAACCGCCGCCCATTCCCATCATACCTGTGAGAGGGGTTTAGTTGTATTCTTTTTTCAATTCTGAATCGCTTGGGATGAGTTTTTATTCTAACAGAATTCGATATGCCCTGTAACTTTGGCGTGATTCGAGATTAAGTTCAGAAATTTTGATAAGTTTATTAATCTAGTAACTTTATACATCACAGTATGCGTCAAATCCGGTAGTTCTGATTTTTTGCAGACTTGTTCATGATGTTGACCTTATGGATAATCCAAGTTTGTGACCTTGAGCGCCGAACGCTACTTTGTCAAAAATCTAAAAAACTGCGAAAGAATCGTTTTCTTTTCGGTTTTTGCCGATTATTACCCTTAAGGACTAGTTTTTGGAAAAAAAAGAACACACGAGATACAGCCTCAGTAAGTAGCTCTTTACGCACAGTAATCACATCGCACAGTTTTCGTTTATTCCACCATTCATGATCGAAAAAAGTTTGGACGAAACGTCTGAATTATAATTCTTGACAATTATGTCATCCGCTGTTGACGGCGATTACGCGATCATGACATACCTATACCGGCGAAATAAATGAAGAATGTGCGATGTGCTCACTGTGGGTAAAAAGCTACTTACTGAGCCCCGCCTCATAGCTCCGCCCCGTAGCCCCGCCCCGTATCCCCGCCCCGTAGCCCTGGCCCGAGCAGCTCATGAAGTTCTCCTCACTCAATATTACCTCAAGACGTATCTTCAGTTTTTCGCAAGTATCTCAGGAAGCTCTACATTTAGGCATGTGTGAAGTTATTACTTTTAGGTTAGGTAACGATGCGTCTAGCTGATGTCCTACACCAATTTGATAATGTATCTGTCTGATCTTAGGAAGTATATGAAGGAAAATATGACGAAAATGACGACATACGACCGTATAGCTACGCCACTGTTGAACGAAATCCAAGAATTAAAACTCCAAGTAATGAACTCCATTAGTCTGGAATAGTATACCAGATGCAATTTTGTTTTCAACAGAGATACCGAAGAAACTAAAATATGGAACTTGGTTTTTCCCCTACTTTCGGCATCTATCAGACGAATTTTGCTTGGTCTCAAAACGAATAAGGCTAACGGTCCTGATGGAATTCCACCCATTATCCTCAAAAAATGTGCACCAGAATTAACACCGATTCTCTGCAAGTTGTTTACCGTCTCGTACAGGTCGGGTATTTTTCCATCATGTTGGAAGACAGCTAGAGTCCAACCAATCCCCAAAAAAAGGGAACAAGAACCTGCCCAACAACTACAGGTCCATTGCCCTGTTATCAGTGATCTCCAAAGTGATGGAGAAAGCCATCAATATTGAGCTTATCAAATATCTGGAGAGCTCGGGAATCATCAATGATAGACAATACGGCTTTCGCCACCGAAGATCTACTGGAGATCTACTTGCCTACGTCACCCATTTATGGCAATCTTCATAAGAAAAACACGGGGAATCTCTAGCTTTCGCGTTGGACATATCGAAAGCATTCGACCGTGTTTGGCACGAAGGACTCCTCCACAAACTACCATCATACGGCTTACCACCTCAGCTAGCTCCATTATCGGACAAAAAAGATTCACTCATTCAGCCTTAACTGAATTCAATAAACTACCTGACAATATAAAAAATTGCAGAAACATAGGTTCATTCAAAAATGAAGTGAAAAAATTGATTATTTCTGAGCGAACTGGATAAAATTGAACATGCCATTTTTTTTTTTTTTACAAATATTCTTTGTTTGTCAATTTACAGTTGTTGATATATTTTGTATAATGATATGTTTACCTATAGGTATATAATTATGTACTTCCTTATACCAGAGCCTATTCTGTCTGGAAGTTATTTGTTCAATAAATAAATAAATAAATATGTCATCTCTTATCGAGTTTTCTTTCAGGCAGATCGCTTCACGTGGTGGTGGATGGTGTATCGTCTGATACCATTGGCATCAATTCCGGCGTTCCACAAGGATCAATTTTGGCACCAACATTATTTCTTCTTCATATCAATGATCTGTTGGGAGTAACAACTTGCCCCATCCACAGCTCTGCAGATGATATAGTACCCTCCATAATGCGTTCTCTTCCAGAATTCCCATTTCTTCTCAAGAAACCAAGAACTCACGGCGCAGGCAGGTCAATGCTGTCGATGAAGACCTTGCTGAAATCACAGCCTGGGGAACCAACAACCTAGTTGAATTCAACGCCACCAAAACTCAAGCCTGTATTTTCTCTAGATAGGCGGAACTCAGTATGCTCGACATTGTAATGTCTGGCACCACCAACCCCACCAGGCCCACCTTATCTATGCTCGATATTTCCATCAGCAACACTCTTTCATGGGATGATCATGTCAGATCCATCGCAAAAGCTGCTTCACAAAAACTCGGATTCTTGTTCCGTGCGAAAAGCTACTTTACACCTCAATAGCTCCTTATGATCTACAAAGAATACTGTTCCCACATATGGGGTTCAGCACCAAAACATACGCTGATGCTCTTAGATTCCATCCAGAGAAGAGCCATCCGCCTAGTGGGTAACGCCACACTCACTCACTCTTTGACTTCATTGGAACACCGTAGAAAGGTCGGCGACCTATCACTTTTCTATCGATACTTCCACGGGAAATGTTCTTCGGAAATTTCTGCTATCATCCCTTCACTAGCAATACCAGTCAGACGAACTAGACAAGCCCAGTCAGCACATCCTCTCGTTGTCAACCTCGAAAGATGTCGAACAGCACTTTATCAAAACTCCTTCATCCATAGAACGGCTAGGCTCTGGAATTCATTGCCTGAGGAAGTATTCCCAACAACATATAATCTCCAGAAATTCAAAAAAAATTCCAATGCCTACCTCCTATCCCTATCCTCCCTAGGAACGCACGATGTTCTTTGAACATTATAGGGATCCCCTTTCGTGCGCTCCAAGCGATAAAAAAAAATCCTATTATCTTAGAGAGTTGTTATAAAATGTTCGTCGAATAATTAAACGAAGGATGATTTGAAAAGGAATATTCTCAGATAAATTATGAACATACAAAAATGGATATATATTTATATAAAGCAATACATTGAGAATTCGCATTCTCTATGTGATGAGAATATTTACTCTTTCTCAGTTGATTTAATAGAAAACAACTACTTTCCTGGCTATATGCCACGACGAACATTGAATTATATCTATTGAACACAGACGATAAGAGTTTGAAAATAAAATATAAAAACTTCTGAAATTGAGAATTTGCATTCTCCTTCAGATAAAAATATGTATATGCACACATCAGTCTGAATATTCAACAGAAAACAACTACTTTCCTGGCTATTTGCCTCGTCGAACATTGAATTATATCTGATGAACATTCAAAAGGAAAAATGAA